GTTCAAAGATTTAATAAATACGTAACAGTCACATGGTCTGGAATTTTGCTCAGCTAATGCATGAGAAGTTGCATAGTACAATATTTCTGGATCTGTTGACTAGAAAGATGTTTAAGCAGATGCTGTTCTACAGCAGTAATTAAGATGATAGAGTATTTCAACATACATATGGGAAAATCATCTAGCTTTGTTCCAAACACCACACAGATGTCTACTGAACACATCTCAGTTTCTCCTGACTGATTTTTGAAGGATCTTGTCTGAAACATTAGATCTTGCCTCATCTTAGTCAAACCTGCCAACAAAAAGAAGAAACATCGAAGAAGACTCCTATGCAGGTATTTTCTAGTACACACATGCACCCTCTATATATTTTATAGATATTGATATCTGCAGCTATGATATAGATACAGATTACACTGACAGCTATACTAATTATCATCTATAGATATCAATATCGGGGAGGAGTGGGGTTGAAAACCTGATTGCCTTCCATGATTCAGCTCAGTTATCTGTGTATATCATCAGCCTCTGTTTCAGAGTCAAGTGCAAGAAAGCCATAGTGGAAAATAATGGGAGGGGAAAAAAAAAAATCTTTCACTGGAAAACAGATGGATCACCTTTGCTTCACTGCAATGCTTTATAGCACACCAGAGAACAGCATCTGGTTTAATAGTGCTTTGCTATTTATAGCAGTGGCATGTATGTGCCTTACAAGCCCATAGTCATGGTGAGGGAAGAGACGCTTTGATTGGAGGAGACTGTCATCCCTGCTTAAATGATGGTGAAGAGAGAAACTCTCGAGGTAGTAGTGTAACCTACCATTAAAGGTCCAAAACAAAAAATTTTCAAGCTCTGTGGTGGGGTTGGTAAGAGCCTGAACAACAACCTTTAAACACATACCACTTTGCCAAAACCCAGTTCAAGATGTGCCTGGAAGTGCATGACTGGATACTGGCAAAGATGTTTTTATAGATATATCCAGGTTTCAAATTTTTTTAGCACTGCTTCGATCATTTTCTTTTTAGTGCTTCTTCTCCATAAAAATGTTCCCTGGTTTATGGTTTCCCTTTCCCACCCCATTACAGAGAAAACAAAAACAGAACTGTTCACTCATGTAGTACTAAGATGTGGATTAATCCTTACATTAACAGTGCAAGGTGATGTATGAAGATCACCACCTCCCACCTATAACACAAAGGAGCGTCATTCCGAAGGCCAGCAAGCAGGACAGCAAGGATGAGAACCCAGCTGGTGCCCAGTCCTGTGGTCTAGTTACCCAAGAACCCATTTCCCCCAAGGAGCCTAGTAGTTCTTCTCTGCAACTGTGAGTTTCAATCTATCTTTCTTGTATC